GAGTATAACATTGTTCTCAAAATCTGACTTAGAGTACTTTTGTATGAAGACGAGTTAGTTATGTTGTGAAAGTTTGTAAAATATTGTAGATTTTTCAATAAAGACAAGCCATCGTGGCATGATTGTGGGTTAATATATATATATATATATATATATTAATAAAATTACCAATCAAAGATCAATATGTAAAATTTATTAATTATTATATATACTAATCATTTAATTTCAATACTAATTAATTATTCTTGACATATTAAATCCCATAGTTGATGTCAAAAGTCAATTAGTAAAAAAGATAAACTTATCTTTAAATAGTTTTGTTTGTATATTAAAAGATATAAAATTGTAAATGCATAAATATATGCATGCAGTAAATCTTTCTCACAATAAATCCAATTCCTTTTTTCAAAAATTAATTATTTGCAAATAAATAAATTAATAAATTGATATAAATATTTACCATTAATAATTATATTTAACATTTATTTAAAACCGATTTAACTGTTAATAAATAGATTAAAATTCTGAAGATATACAGCATAATAGACTCGAAGGATCATTCCTTACACTAAATATAATTTATCATGTAATTTAGTAACAAATTTTTTGGAACATGGAATTACATTTTAAAACAATGAATCGGAAATATACAGCAAAGCAAATCTCGATCAAATCACAACTGAATCGTTTTAAAACTTTTTTTGGTATTCACGGAACACCATTCTTACTTTTTATTTATTACGATAGAGAAATTGGGTAAAATATGAAAATAAATAAAAAGTAAAAAGCACTAATCAAATTCGTTTTCGAACGGGAGATCTGGGCGCGAGGTTTCAAAAATAAATTTGAAGAGTACATTGTGATCGTGAAAATTCCCAATTTTACCTATTTTTTCTCTCTTTTAATAAGTTGAGGATTGAATTTTGAGGCGAACTAGAGTGATCTGATTTAAAGACAAAGGTGATAGGATGACATACTGTATATTTCGAACATGGCAGATAAAAAACGGTGTGTAAATTATTAAGCTCAGAAAAATGTTATGAAAACGTTTTACGAAACGATTGGTGTTCAAATTGTAGTAAATAAGAATATTCGAGGTAATGAAGAAGTTAATCACGAACTAAACGCACAAGTCAACAAAGATAATTTGGAATTTATGCATGGAATTTCGAGTTTATAGGTAACCATTGGAAAACAAATCTTCTGGTCGTCGTCATCTTCATTGTTCGGAAGTTGATCTTTGAGGCTTGATGCGCTATTAATCTTGACCGAGAGAGGAATTGAGTTTCCTTAATTGCATTTGTGATCAAGAGTAACAGTCCCTTTCTTCATCAATATTTGCATCGACGTTTAATTATCACTGGAATGATGTTAGGGGTTTTTTTTTTTTTTTTTTGACGATTTTTTTACGGTTTTATAATTTTTTTTTTTTTTTTTTTTTTTATAATTTTCTTAATAAAGAAAAGGAATTGCCAGAATTCCTTCCATTGATCCTTCAACTTTAATCAAAAAAAAAAAAGGAAAGATTGGAATTTTAAAATTTTTTCTTTCTTGGGAGGGAATTAGATTTTTTGTTAAAGATGAGGCCTGGAATATACAGAGGGAATTTATAAGAAATTTCATGTTGCAAATTTCTGCATTATGACAATAGACATTGTCGTATATATTGATCTTTATGTCTATTGTCTGCTCGTTCATGAATCTGTGATATTGTTACCATAGTGGTGTTGATTTTTTTCGCAACGTAGAATTTCAATCTTTAAAGTGTCCGAGTGCATTTATTGAGTATCGATAAAACAAAATCAGTCACGTGAAACACTACGGACAATAAGAGATTGAGAAACGACAAAACAATACGTCAACAAGTAGATGAATTTCTCCATTTAGTAATCACTAACACGAGGTCGATACAATAAAATGCATTGTTATATATAACCTTTTTTCTTCCATAATTAACGCATTTTAACGGAATTAATTTTCGACCTTTGAAGTGGACCAAAGACAATGTGAGCTTTATTGAAAATTATGACTATTTAAATAACAATTAAAAGGTATTTACATTATTTAAAATCTCATGTTCTTATATAATAACGATGAGCTGTATAGACGTTAAGTGAATTACGAGGGTTTATCAGTGAACAATAAGACTATTGTTTATTATGCCAAATGCGGGTGATATAAATCATTTCATTGGCGAGAAATTCCTTACTCCCATGAATCATAATTTGTATGTTTCATTAAGACTACATTAAGATTATCCACGTATAAATCGAAATTGTCCATATTGAAAAAAAAAAAAAATCATTCATGTACCACATAGAAGCCTTGCATACATTTACGGCAAAAATTTTGATATTCACTCCGCAGATTTGCTTTTAAGACAATACAATCAATGATCTCCGATATTTACTTTTAGTCTATTAAGCGTACTTTGAAAAGATTTCTTTTAAAATTTTTTTCCTCTGACAGAATTGAAGAAATATACATTCTGCAATCACCTATAATATTGAAATATTCCTCCCAAGATCATCGAAATCATTCCTCCTCTTCAGATCGCATGAAAATATCCGCGACAATTTCCCGATTTGCATTTACACTTATACTTTTCCATAACCTCTTGTCTAAGACTCCCATCCGACTTGAGCACATCGTTGCCATCGTGTCTTTCAAATGACCCAGTATAATTGAATGTAAGTTCCTCGCCTACCTCTATGACCTTCTTGGAAAAGAATGCAATGTGATGGAGCCTGATATCTCCATTATCATTCATCACCGGATAAACCACAAGGTTCGGATCGCACGAATGGTTGAAGAAGTGGGAGATATTCCCATAGCGCCACGCGTCAATTGTGTAAAGACACTTGGTATTCTCGTTTGTTCCATCATCGCAAAAGTCGAGATCGAACAAATATGTCCTTCCAACTGCATCATATTTGCTTCCACGGAGGTCTGCCTCAGCCGCTGTTATGATCTCGCCGTAATAATATGTGATGAACACGTTTGCCTCGATCCGTTTTGTGGCAATCACCCCCCATCCCTTCTCAGGATACCTTTTTATCGCCAAGTGAACCTTACGGCCTCGCTGTGTGACACGATTAAAACAGCCTATATCGCACGGGCACCTTGAATTACATTCCATGATCACATGTCCAGGGGGTACCTTAACTTGACCAGTTTCTCGCGAGTAGTTTAGTTTTCCCACGTTCAGCTCTTTCAAACATCTGCACTTATTCCCTTTACAAATACCACCTGAGCATTCACAACCGACTAATGTTTCCTCCAGTGCACTAGGATGTGGAACACCTTCACCGTAAAGGTAGCGGTCAACGTACGTGAAATCTGGTGGAATTCCTTGAGTGTCAACGTCGTTAATAACCTGAATCGGCGGTCCATCATGAGCATGCGTCAAAAGGAAATTTTCAAATGCTAACTCATTTTCACTCTTAGGACGATTGATCTGTGTTGTACAAATTGATGACTAAATAAAAATGAATATGGTGAATATCTACTCCGTATTCGTCAAGGTCACGTGCTCAACTGTAGATCAAGATCCATTATTAATGATTACCTTTTGTGAGACTAATATCTTTTGTCGCCGTTCACGATTAAATTGCTTTATCAATTCCGGACAATCAAGATAAACGGCAGGTTCCCTGTTATCGAAAATTTACCACCATATTGAAGTGTTACACAGAATGGTTAGGACAAATGTCTCAAATTTTTTGTTCAATCACTATCAAGATTTCAAGAACCTAACATACCATGAATTGTGCATGTCATCATAACCTTTCCACTTGAGAAGATAAAATACAGTTCCCTAATAATATGTTGATTAAGATTAATATAGAATTCCTATAATATATGAAAATATATAAAATATTGTCTTATTTAAACATGTAAAATTTCAAACATTTGATAATGAACAATTAATTCATTTATCACATTATAAAAACCAGGAATTCCTTATTTTTCATCAATGTTTCATCTTTGAAATTAATTTCAAATTATTTCATAATATATCTATGAATCTGTAAACCTTAAAAGACTTCTCACCAATAAATCATAAGAAAAATCAAATTAAATATGTAAAGATCTCTTCGTGTTCTCATCACATAATTCTTAATAGGTGCAATATAAAACTGAAAAATCTATACAATTTGACCAATCAATCAAAAGTAAAATATATATTTAACGGCATACAATTCATTGGCATGCTTGAGCCCATCTAGAAACAGTATATACCATCACCAAAGTCTCAAGCTAAATACTTTTTGAATGTCTTTGTCTATATATTACTACACAAAAACCATAAGCTTATAAAAAAACCCATAAAAATTACTCACGTTCTCTTCCCTTTTGTCTATAATCTTTTCCACCTAAAGATCACAAGTCTTAAGGTTAGTTAATATCTGATTTTTGTTTTTAACCCTCAAAAATAGAATTAAAAATATCTAAGGTGCCACAAGAGTAAAGAAGTCGAATAAAGAATTAAACTGTTCATAAGATGTTCTACCTCATACTCCTCTTCGACAGGAGTGGCTTCCGGTATACTTTGATATTCCATTTGGTCTGTTTTTT